GGGAAGGAGAGAGAGGAAGTAGGAGAGGGAAGGGCTTGTACTGTTCGCTGGAAATTTTATTATCGAATTTTTCAACTTTTATATTACCTTCGAGACGGAGATAAATACCCCCGGCCGTTTCGAAACTGCTTTTATATAGTCGCTGGAGATTTCTCGAAGGATAAAGAAGGGCCTCCGGTTCTCAAACTCGCGCCCGTACGCGTACCTTCCGCTTCGGGAGAGACGTCGGTAGATAATTAAATTAGATAAGAAAGCTGTGTTTACCACACACACAGCTTGCGCACGCGGAATCACATATACACACACACACACACACACACATACACGCTTCGTTCCGTCGAATATCAGCACTTGTCGCTGCTCGCCCGATCCGCGTTAATTCCTAATCGGTTTTTTTTTCCGCCCGACCACCGCATGATAACTGAATCGTGCGGTTTCCGCCAGCTGTTAGACGACTTCGGAGGAACCGAAGGGTTGTTGGGTCGGTGCTGTCAGCCAACGAGCTCTTGGTAATGCAGAAAGCGTGTCACTGCAACAAATCCGTACTCCCGGCATTACGTGTCCCGGGTAAGTGCGGCGGAGTGGTGCTTTCAAAGTGCTCGGGACTCCTTTAAGTTACCTGAACGATAAAGTTCTTTGGAAGCCAGCGTCGCCCGTGCCGTCGTGGTGGAAAGTATTTCTGAAATTTGAAAATACCACCGTCAAAGAGACTACGCGGCTGCCGCTTTACTGTATTAACGCGCAATTACGTTTGCCCGTGACAAAACGATGACCGTGTTTACCTGCATTTTGACGACTTAAGTGCCATTAGCCTCGCTTTTATTTCATAAATTCAGTTTGAACACATACACACACACACACACAAACACATACAATTTTCTCTGCATTGACGAGACGCAAGACGATTCTGATTTCTGAGGAAACGTCCAATCTGTTGTCTTCTGGTGATGTTATTTTTCACTTATTATAATACATTTCGAAGAAGTGCTGTAATAATAGGAAATATAACGCGATGATGGAGTACTTAACGAATCAAACGAACATTAGTTTATTTCTTGCGTGAGATAAAATTCTCCTGAATTTTCCAACCGCAAGTTTTTAACAGCATGCACGTGTATGTTCAAGGGATGTGCGTGTATTAAACCTCAACGGTGATACGATTACGGAGGGTGATTTATAACTTATATTTACTAATGTATCGCATCGCTTATTACCGTGGCAGGGAGAGAGGATTCTCGCGCACTCATCGTTTGCACATATGTGTGCGTTTAGATGGGATCGAACGTCATTTTAGTGGGATCAATCGTCATCCGAAAGGGATTAAGCGTTAATTCTGTAAGCCCGCGCTTCCACGTTGGATTAAATTTGCACGACGCGCAAATATGGGGACAATTATTCTGAAATAAATCGCCGTAGTCTCGAGTATCTCGACGGCTTATAGGTTTTGTCTCTATTCGAAGCGACCTGTCTGCCGATAATCTGGAACAATCATCACGAAGAACACTTTTCGTCTCGCATTTTACACAACAGTCGTATGAACTTTTTTTTATCAACGGTTGGTTGTCTTCGTTTCGTCGCGTTATCACTATTCGTTACTTCTTCTCGACAAATGGGATAGGATAACCAGTGGTGCCCGGTTTTAACTACCAGGTATTTATTTTTAACAATATCTAAAAGCAAGGTTCCTCCTTGAATGTTTTTATCCTTGAGTATCTGATCAGCGACGAGCACTTCCGTGCTTCACGCCGCTTACAACTCGTCCATTGACGTCCTGATATTATCTAAGAGGAAAGGTAAATCTGATCCTTTTCTTTTCGCCTAAAGGAATAGGTTTATGTAAAGCACCCTGTACCTCACGTGGCGCGAACTATATCTACAATTGGACGCACGGAATCGTCTCGGCACCCTCAGAAAGGGAAATACGCATAATTCCGTTGAAAAACCGGCTACCGATATCGAAGCCGACTCTCGAGCGAGATCCCCGAAATTGCGAGATTCTATCTTGACACGAATGTATCTCGCGTCGGCAGTAACCGAGGAACGGTTTAAGTCGCACCTCCTTTCTCCCCGGGCGGATCCCGAACTCTCGGGAAGCCAGGAGAGAAGCAGCCGGAGGATACTCTTAACGGAACAGTAAATTGCCTGGAAACTGCTGTACTATTTACGGACAGCGTTTCCTTCCTCCTACAGACCCCTGCTGCGACCCCGGTCGATCCGGAGGTCCGCGATCTCCTCTCCGGCTCGTCGTTACGCGAGATCGAAATCGTAAATTCCGAGAATTGCGGAAAGGCTCATATGTCCTGATCTTAGCAGATTTCGGGGCGGGAAATATTTTCGTTGCGGCTTGAACCTTCGGAACGAGAATCTCTCTCTCTCTCACTCCCTTCCTCCTTCACATTTTTTCTTTTTCTCCGGCAGATGTTCGTTTCCGACGATTTGGACCCGGATTCGCCCGGCGGAACCGGAAAACTGCTTTAGCTTATGCAAATCATCCCGAGCGGAACGTGATCCGATTAGCGACTTAAACACTTGGCATACACCCGTCGCGAGCCGTAGAGCCCGGGATTAGCGGTCGATTAGAGTTTCCCTTTTTTTTTTCGAAATCACGCGCGACGCAGTGACGGTTGATCGGTCAGCCCGGTTGGTCTCATCTTCTTTCCTTCTCGCAAAGACACTGTTCCAGGGCGTGATTCTCGCGCGGCTCGACGAATCGCACGGTTTGCGTTACAGCAATGATATAACAAACGCACGGTTCTTCCTCCTATTGTTGATACGACGTTAATTAATTCCCTCGGCCCTTCATCCAATTTGCAATGATCAATGTCCCATAATATTGGACATTGACGTTGTCCGCATATTGTCCGGTGAAAATTAATCAGTCTGTTCATGATACCTGATCTAATTAATTCTCCCGTTATCGCTCCGAATATATATTGTATATTGTATCACTTACGATACGTTTAATATCGACGATATTCCCGTGACTTCGATATTTTACGCGTAATATGCCCTCCGCCCGGGGGAAATGCAATTATAATGAGTCGGCGAAATTAGAACAGCCAATCAAGCGCGACGCATCGTCGTTTCTGCGGGCATAAATCGCTCTCGCAAGAGCCGGAATCGTCTTCCGCTTTATCGGCTCGGCAGGCTAATGTAATGTATATGTACACTTCCACGAAGATTCACCGCTGGATAATTCGAGCATGTCCTTCCTCTTTTCGGTCTTGCCGCGACGGTCGAGACGTCCTCTCGCCAGATACGTCAAACAGGCTGGCGTCGCGGCGTTTATTTAGCGAAGTGCACCTTCTCCTTAGCGCCTCTCCCTGGAGCCCTCTTTATCCTTGCTTGCCGCCAGTGCCATCGTGTCTGATATAGCCGTATCCGCTTTTACTCTATGAAAGTATATACCGGGCGCGATATCGCGCCACCTCGATGGAAGATCGTTGTTCGGCAATGGCCATTTTAGTTCCATCGGGACGCCTCGGATCAACGTCGCAGTTGAGCCTCGAGTCTCGGGGCGGATAACGCGCTCAAAAATGCGCACAAAAGACGCCACTCCGAAGCGGATCTTCCGTGTAAAAAGAAAAGGGTAAAATTTGCGGTCGGCGCGACGCCAAGTAGCGTGTCGAAAAATCTGATTACTCGAGTATCCGAGCCGAAATCGACGTCACGTCGACAGACGGGCAGGAATGCTATTATATCGGTAGAATTGTACAACAGCGCCGTGATTTGAGTAAATTGTCTTGATTCGATATCAATATCATTGAAACTAATGTATCTAAATGATTGGAACAATGCACGGAGTATTAGTTGCAATAATATTGTTATTGAATCGGGAAGATTCAGCTCCAATTACAGCGTTGTCGAGCAATTCTACCGACGGACAACTGTATTTTTTTCCCGTATGGGATATTTAATCCGCGCTCGTATAATATCCAGGCTATCGCGTTATACTGTCGCTAATTATTTCTCGAAATTGCCCCTCGCGCATTCCCGCATCGATCGAAACTTGGCGAATGCCCTTTCACGTTCGTTCGCGTCCGGAATACGACGTCCGGACTCCGCGTTTTCTCCGGTTTTCCTTCGTTAATATCTGCAATTTCAACGGACTTCCTCGGGTGCTCTCTCGTCTAAGTGACGGCTGGTAATTCCGCGAAAGTTCTTACCGAGAGCGTGTCCGATAAAAGAGGAAAATAAAATTCCGCACCTCTCTCTCACTCACTTGTAACTTCTGATGGCTGTTCCCTCCTTTAGGGCGAAATGAAGGCAGATCCGCGGGAACACAATACGAAACCTTCTTTCCGCCGAAGCGAAAGAGGCGGTTGAAATTCAACGCGATCACTATGGGAATTTACATCGGAGCCGCCGCATTTGCGCCGAATGAATTCCCCCGCGGGAGGTTGGAGTACGTTAATTTACGTCGCGAATTCGTTCGACGTCGAACGACTCCGCGACGGGCGCGAGTTCGCGCGCGTTGAGTCTAACATAGCGATAATATTACAGTTTAATTTCGGAACTTTATTTCCGTAAGTAATTTCCAGGGTTTTCGCGGCGCGCCTCTGCGTGAGGCGCGGAGCAGCTACACGTGGAGAGAACTAATTTGCTGGCACAGCAAATTTCATACTGTCGCAGCGAAATCTATCAATTACTATGTGGACGGCAAAACGGACTTGTTGATTAACAGTAAATTAACGTGTCCTAAGGACGAGTTCACTCGTTGGAATATTTTCGATCCTGGCAGAAAAACTGATTTCTCCTCGAATTACGAATAATTTGCTAGTTTGATCACGTAGTAACGAAATTTTATCGCTGTCGCGATCGATATCATTACAACAGTGAATTTACTTTTCTCCGTGTGAGCGCTTCAAAGATACTTTAAGTATACGAATTTGGCAACTCGTCCTTATATTTCACGATCTAATTCTGACCTTATTATATTCTCGTGTTGTGCTATATTCTCGAGCAATTTCTTCAGTATGTCGTCTCCGATATGCCTGCAGGAAATGCGAGAGCAGTCAGGTTTTCGTCAAGGACCACCATACGCACTGTATAGACACCTGCCGTCCCGTTACTATGTGCGGCGAGGTAGTCGTCCCGGAGGACCATCTCGACGTAAGTAATTACCCGATAAGTTTTCCGGGCCGAGTTAAATTGTGCAATAAATATCCGGGGCCGGTCAAAGGAGCGGATCGAAATTGGCTCGGCCGTATTTCGAGCGTCGCGAACGTGGAATCGGCAATTCGGTTGCTCGCTCGTTACCGCCGTCGATTAGTCAAAAATTCACGATCGTATTTCATGCAGGCGAATCGCCGGAGAGAGAGAGAAAGAAAGAGAGAGAGAGAGAGAAGCGGTATATTATTCCTTTAATTAATCAGTGCGAGATTATGCTTATTCCGGTGGATTTTACAAATGCCGGTGTTTGTTCGCGTTGTGTAAATTGAGAAATTGTGGAGAGAGCGTAGCTTCCGGTTAGATTTTTGTTAAGGGAAAACCGATTAAAAGTTCGCCAGAGAGGGAGAGAAAGAGAGAGAGAGGGAGAGAGAGAGAGAGAGAGAGAGAGAGAGAGAGAGAGAGGCTGCAGTCGACAAAACGATGGAGTGCGCGCACCTTCTGGGACATCGCACATTTTATTATCTCTTTCCACATACTCTCGCCGTCTCACACATGTCCATTAACTGTGTGTGACTGCTAAACTAAATTTGGAGAAATATTCTATCTGCTGCGTGAATTATTACGCGACCGTAAAGTTAACTCGGCTGATATGATATGCAGAGTCGGAAAATTTTCACGCTCCGTCCACCGATGTGAAACTCCTCGAATAAAATCGGGAGTTAATTGCGGAACGAAGCTCCCCGCTATTTGTATCCGACAATTTATGCTCGGTATAATTGGCGCGATACCGTGTGCGTTAATTATTTACCGCGCGACAGGTATCGGGAATATGTGTATTAACAATTTGTCGCGCGTGTAAAATGAGTGTTAAATGTAAATCTAAGAACCGTCTAAATAGCGACCATTTATGCCGCGTTCTACGCTGGTAATTCCGTTAATGATATTATAAACGCGGCACGCCGAAAACGATGTGTGTGATTTTAGCGAATCGACGAGCTTCACATTTAACATGCGAACGTACGGGCTCGCACGGTTTCATTCTGCGACTCGCTAGTCTTGTTGAATCTGGCTTTCGATTGAATTACAACTCGCCGTCCGCCATTCGATACAAATGAGGTAAATTCTAGTATATTAGAGAATCGAGTATCGCCATTATTCGCGGTCGGCTACGTAAATACGACGTGAAGCGACCCTGCAATTATCGGTCCGGAATACTTTCCCGCCTCTCGATATAATATAATATATATATATATATATATATATAGCGTCAAAATAATGTTATTTCCGAGATATTCCCGGAGTTTGTACTCACAATTGTCAGGGAAACTATAATAAAACCAATAAAACCCATCGCCACGATTAACCGATGGCCATTAAAACCGGCAAATTACCGGCGATCGAATCTATCCTCGTGTAAATTGTCCGCACATTTCTACTCGATGCAAATCGCTAATCGCGAATTCTCGTTGTTATTCGCGATGAAAACAGCCGGGGATTGAATTCGGCCGAAAAATTCGGCTGGGAATCCCGCGGAGGGAGGGAGAGCGTGTGAACACGACAGGCGGCGGCAGGATCTTAATGTTTTTGCGCGGAACATGCATATCCGTCGGAATGACGCGGTAACTGCGATAACCTCATCGGCGCTTCATCTTGATCGATTGCCGAAGATCGTGTTGAGGTGGTAGCCGTGCTTTGACGACGGCCGACTGGAAACGGGAGGCGCTAATTGATGAACGGCCCTCAGAGACGAATTGGTGTCGGATAACTTATTAGAGGACGGGACACGAGGGGAGGATCGGGGAACGACGTCGTCAACCTCTCGTCGACGGAGGCATTCGCTGACAGTGTAAAATTATTTACCCTATCCTAGAGGTGTCCGGGACGGTAATGCGATTCTGACCCCGCTCGTTGTCGGCGTCAACGTTTTCGGATACTTCGTTGTCTCGCGAGATGCGATCTTCTTTGCAGTAATTCGCATGTCCAACGCTCGTTACGACGAGCGAGAAATCGTTCCGCGTCACGTCGGCGCAAAATTCCCGAGAGGGACGTTTCCTCTCCTCTCGCTGATAATTAGTCCGATTGCACGATTTGACTCGCGAAAAGTGAAAACTGAACTGGGATTTCACAGAGACGACAGCGGCGTTTTCTTCGGACTGATCGCTGTGTCACGATCAATCGCTGTGTAACGATCTTCCGTACGGTTTTTCATGTGTGTATCTATACACCTGCGTAGGTTTGCAGAACGTGCAACGCGACGGGGCACAATTGCGGGGTAGCTGCAGGTAGCAAGGCGGGTCCGGGCATCGACGGTGCCGACTTCGTCTTCTACGTGTCCGCCATGCAGACCGAGAGGTGTCACAAAGGTTTAACGGTGGCCTACGCCGCTCATTGCCAACAAGAAGCTGCCTTGGATCGGTGAGTTCGTTGTTCGACGAAAATTTCATCGTACGTTGTAAGACGAGTCCAACGGTATAACGTTATTCGTTGAAATTGTATAGAAGAGATCGAGGCTTATTTCCACTTTTTATATATTGATTGAAAATAGATATGTGCAATATTTCATAATATCATATATATTTTAATGTAACTATATTTTGTTTAACTTTTAGAAGAAATAGTTTTATATATATAACTTATATATAAAATTATATACACAAGGTGTCCCAGAAAACCGCATGCTGAGAGTGCATCGGGAGATTCTTGATATTAATCAAAGGCATTTCTCGTTTACCAAAATTTCATTAAAATGATAGTTTTTAAATGAGAATTATTTCAAATTGTCGAATTAATGTATTAGATTACGCGTGAATCAGGAACAGAACCACGAAATGTGTACCACGAAATAACGAAGCCACGGGAATTATGTAGACTGTTTTTATTCTACTTTACTGAAGAATTTATTACGCGATTGTGCGTATCTGAATTTATAGTTATTTTGAATAAAATTATTATATTATATAAATAAATTTATATAAACAATTTGTATAAATTCCATCGGCCTTTTTTAAGACCACAAATATTTTCAAAACGTTGGAATGAAAATTTCATATGAAAAATTATATGTGTATTGTTTAAGCATACTATTTTATTATTTATAAGCGTTCTTTCAGTGGCATCAGTGAAAAATTCTTTCGTATCAAATAAGTACTATCTGCATTTACCGCTATTTTATGTGTAAATAAAACTTATTTCATATGAAAAAATTGTTTACCGATGCCACTGAAAAGACGATTGCAAATAAAATAATATGCTTAAACGATAAACGAATAATGTTTTATATATATATATATATATGAAATGTTATTCCGACATTTTAAAAATATTTGTGATCTTGAGAAACAGACTACTGGAATATTATTTATATAAATTATTTACAAATAAGTTTTATTCAAAACAGTGGTAAATTCAGATATGATTAGCTGCGTAATAAAATTTTTATCGTGAAGAAAAATAATACACATGACTCACATGATATTTCATGGTTTCGCAGGGGACGTGCTATTCCTGCCTCAATAACCAATAAATAATCGTAAAATTAACATTAATCAAATCATGAGAAAAGAGGTTAAAAAGAAAGATTCCATGTCAAGCTAATTTTACGACTATTTATTGATTGTTCGAATAAAAGAAAAATGTTTGAAAGATTTTACAAGCGTTCTGAATCGATTACAAATGTCATTTTGTGAGTTTATTATTTTATTTGAACTCAAGACGCAAGAATTCTTGGCATATCTCTTCTTGCTTCTGATGTCATTAAACAAAGATAATTGCAGCGAGGGATCAGGAGTCTTAAAGTTAATGGCATCACGTGATCAGGTGCAGTTTCACTTCTATTTTTCGATCACGCTTTCGAGCTATGGCCATCGAAGAAACAACTAAAATCTACCTAAAACTTTTACATCTATGAATATAACTTCTCAATCTAACTGGATAACTTGATTCTAACAAAATTCATCGATTCATGTGTATGCTGCCGTGCACATGCTACATGTAAGTTATAATACATCACAGCCACCACATTTGAATTAACTTAATCTGAACAGCCATTTTGAATAAAAGAAATTATATTTCTGTACAATATTGCTATAACAGTTAACTAAATATTGGGAAAGTTAGTGCTACAAAATTTCTCATGACTGCAGAGAAATTGCGAGCAGCAATTTCCAAACTAATGGGCCAATAAAAATAGAGAAAACAGAAAGAGTTTATTCAACACGCGTTCAATTTTAAAAAATGTAAGTTCCACACGCCACGTGTTGGCCATAAGCCATTTTGAACGCGCGATAAAACGACACTACCAACCTACACTATAGAAAAAATGTGCTCCTTTATTAAGTAAAATATTTGTGATAATTAATCTTTTTAGCTCCGGTCTTTCCTGTATCACAATAATAATTAAGAAGTGTCAAAGAATTTTTTGAAAATTAAATATCCATTTGTGCGACAACGTGAAAGTGTGTTTTTATTTTATTTTTTTATTTTTTTATTTTTTTTGTTTACGAACGTCTAACACATATACGCCATTCATTTTTTTCGCAACGCTTTGACGCATTCGTGCGAGTGCTGTGTTAATAATATACTGTAAAAGTAGCCCGCCATGATTGAAGCATGCATAATCCTGGTTCGTTTGTACGAACGAAACGGAGGCAAACACCATCTGGCATGAGTATATTTCATCGGGACGTCGGATTAAATATTTGACAGAATTTGTAAGAGACACTGTTGTTGTGCGGGTCGAGCGATTTAACAACGGCAACCGACGGCCTTTTTCGAAATAATGACTTTAATTAAAGTGAAATATTTCACGTCCCTTTTTTTATCCGCGGCGACTGTCGCTACGCCGCGCCTGTTTAAATCTATTTTTATTCCGAAATGTTTTAATTCGTCGTCAAACAGTCGTTACGATTGCGCATTCGACAACGAGGAAATCGGTAATTTATTCGGCTGCGTAATTTATTCGCGCACGTACGTGCATAAATACACGCGACATTGTTAGAATCATCGATCCTCCCCCTTCTGAATTTTTCGGGCAGGACCAATTTCGCGATCGAGAATCGCCGAGGCGGGGACTCTCGACCTCCTCTCCTGCGCGCCCCTTTCTCTCTCCGCCTGTGACGTCTAACTCGATGACTCCGCCGAAACGCGAGCGCGAATATTGAGCAGATTAAATTTGTCTGTCAGGTACATACATCGCACGCGTCGTATGCCGGCCGATGTAAATGCGCTTCGCGCGAATTTTATTATTCGCGCGACGTCTGATCGTGATAGATCGACCGGTATTCGTGCGTCGCGCTCGCGTCGCGTTTGCTTATGGAAAAATCCCGGGAATATTCCAGGTGCGGAAAACGGAAGAAAAAGACATACTTTGCATAACATACGACGTCACATGGCACTTAATGTATCGACCCGACGGAAACCTCTCATGGAAATCGCGGCACGATTTCTATGCAAATCTACGCGCGTGCTACGCGCGCGTACAATGTTTGTTTTTGCGCCGGCGCGTGTGTGTCCGCTTCGTCATCGTCACGATGACGGCCGGGAAGAGCTTGCTCCGCAGTCCCGAGGAAATAACGGGAGGAGGAGATTTAACGCGAATTCGGGCCGGTATAATTAAAATGAAGGCGGGAGGAGATCTCCGTGGTCGCTGAAGCGGACTTAATTGCTTCCAGGCCGATAGCCGGCCACGCCAACCTATGCCCGGGGAGCATCAGCACGAAACCGCAGGAGTTGGAAACGCTGCTCAGCACCGTTAAGCACGAGATCCTGCACGCCTTAGGATTTTCCGTCAGCCTCTACGCTTTCTACAGGGACGAGAACGGCGAGCCCAGGACACCGCGGAGAAGCGATACCGGGAAACCGCCCCTTAATGAAAAGTACGTTTTCTCTCCCCTCCCCTCGTTGCGCGTCTTTATATCGAAATTCCTTTATAACGGCGAAGTGTGGAAAACGCGGAGAATAGACAATTGCGCGGGCGTTAAATTATTAGCCTCGGTGGAGCGGCGTAAGAAATTCAGGTGAACGCTGGAGGATGTACTCGAAATTCGATTGCTAACCGACGGTCGAAAACGACGACGGGTTACGTATTCACGGAATATCTGATGGCCCCTAGTTAGAATACCAAATGTCGCATTGTCTGAAATCGATTCCCGTCGCATGTGCATCCCCGGCCAATGAGCGGAGCTTAATATTCCAGCGTAAAGTCTCGCATCTAGAAGAGGATTTATGAAAACTCTCGCCCTGCACGCCGTTATCGGTGTACATGCGATGTTCTATACAACTCCCCGATTTTCTCCCATACATAGCGCTTTCTAAAGTGCTAAAGCTTCCTGCTTAGAATCGTACGTTTGAAACACGTCTGAACGGAACTGAAGTGGGTTTCCCAACTGGAACCTGCAATTATCTTGAGAAAAATCGAACCAGATCCCAATTAGATCCCAAGAAATTTTCTACGCTGGTACTACGTGGGGGGCTTCTTCTCGACGGCTTCACGCTTGCCGCCTCGGATTTGCCGGAAATTCGTCTCGCTTGACAAATTAATCCTCACGAGCGATCTCGTCAGGCTTATCGTCACGACGATTTTGTATACAAGGGGCCACGACGAGCGACTGTTCACAGCGGGCTTCGTTCGCCGATTCATCACACGATGGCATCTTCTTCGTCGTCTCCTCCTCCTCCTGCTCGTCTTTTTCTTCGTCTCGCCTCTTAACAACAGTCCGATGGTGGCGTATCTGCCTTTAAAATTGGAAAATTCCTGCTATCCCGTTCTATCTGAGTCGACGGACCGTAACGAACTGGCTTCCGGCGTTGGCAGATGCGAGAGCTCCTCGCTCTCCACCCTGCGAAATCCTTCTTCCCGTGTGCTTCCTTCTGTTTCACCATCCATTACTTCTCTCTCTCTCTCTTTCACACACACACACACACACACACTCACTCACTCACTCACTCACTCTCTTTCTTTCACTCTCACACCATCACCCTCCTCCTTCCTTCATCAGCTTGTTTGTATCCTCAGTAGCTCCTTGTCTCTCTCGTTTCACCGGCGCGGACCTCTCCGTTCGACGACGAAAATCGACGCCTTTCCACTTCGAATCGCGAAATTCCAGCAACAGATCCACCAGCGTTCCGGGTGGTAATAGATTTCGGGAATGACTCAGACGTTCTCCGCGAGTCCCTTCCTGAACGAAGCTCGCTCTGGCGTATAATTTTCCAGTATGTTCTCGGCGCGTTCTTTCCCTGAAGTGTCCGGTTCCTCCTCCTCCTCCTCCGGAGAGAGAGAGAGAGAGAGAGAGAGAGAGAGGGCGGCCTCATGAATTCCAACGTTGATTTGCGTCTCGAGTGATGCCGCGAAGGTGAAATTCTCTCTCTCTTTCTCTCTCTCTCTTCCTCCACTCTGTCCCCATCTATCTATCTCTATCTTTCTCTCTTTTCGACAGAACATCGCTCATCGCGTAGCACGACGTCGTGGAATTATGAAGCCACGCCGGTAATGTATGCGGAACTTCTGAAACTTTCGGCAACTTTTTGCGCCCGCGAGTTCTATGATTCTTTTCCCTACGACGACGTCGCGGGAACTCAAATTGAGGGACAGAGATTTTCGTCGGAGATAGCTGTTCGTCGTCCCCTCCCCTCTGCTTCTCATCGCAGCCCTTCGTCCTTTTAATTTCCTCGCCTTCTTCTTTTCCACCTCTCGTCTACCTCCTCACTTCACCTCGCTTGAGCTCACCTCATCTCGCCTCGCCGGCCCTTCTTTCCCTCCGTCGTCTTTCGTTGCTTCCCGTTTTAGTTCTAGTCGTCCTTTCCGTCCGTTTCCGCCTCGCTTCGCAACCTGGGCGCGTTCTCCGTTACAAATTCAAGCGTTTCCTTGCATCTCCCGCCATCCATCTGCTCGTGAGCTCGCGCGTTCTCACCCTACCGCGTCTGAATATCTCCACGAGGATCCTCTTACGTTTAAGGTTTACGCTAATCCGCCACGGCGCACGGAGAAAGAGGGTCTCTTTGTAATCTTAGATTTCGTCAGGACATGGACTTTGTAATACAACACGGCGGTATTAGGTGTAATCGTTTGCGAAACGATACAGAAAGGTACTTTTCCTTTCTTCGGACTTTAAATAAATTTAACACCGTTAGCTCTTCGCCGATAGCCGATAGCTCTTCATTCGTTTCTCCAGCTCGGAGATATTTCCTTCCAACGTTGCCTTTACCAGTGTTGCCAAGTCGACATTTTAAAATCCGTCATATGCTTCTTCAAGATGAGCCAGAAATAAGCCGAAGGTAGAAAATGCGTACACGCTCTATGTGGGAGTGCGCATACATGTAAAAAGAAGATACGTAGTTTTGCGGATGCAATTGCCATTATCATTACAGTGAATATATGTAATATAAAATAAACGCATGAATTTCGACGAAAGATCATATATCGTGCCGTTTTTCCACAAAAGCTAGAAGTCTATTGGCCACTGCGTTCCTCGCAAGATCTGACTACGAATATCACCCATAGTCTAATTAAAATTTAATTTAGGAGAAGAAAGTTAGCTTATCTCGGGAAAGAAAATTCCCGGTTTCAATTTTCAATTAATCCAGAAAATATGTTGAAACGAAAATCAGCTACGATGATTTTTGTACTCTAATTGACAGTCAAATAAGCTAGAAATGATGGAAGATAATCTAAGTTGGCAATATTGGTCCTTGCCCGAAATTGCCAGTTTCACCGGCCAGTTCGTTTCGCGTTTTTAGCGTCAATTACATTTCCATTTGTTTCTACCCGGCTTCTAATTATCTGTTTCACATAAATGCAAATTATTCTCGTTTATTCGAGCGTTTAAATTTAATAACCGAACTGCGGAATTGCGAAACAGCTAGTTCGAGCCGAAAGTGCAAATTGACGCGTGACGTAGTAGTGGCCGATCGACATTTTTAGCTCGTACGATCGAAAAGACCCTCGAGACGAGACTCGAAAGCGTTTCCACGAGCAACAAATGATTTCCAGACGAGTAACAAGCTTGATATTATTTATCCCGAAATATGGAAAAAATTACGAAATCAAGCTCCTAGTTACAGTCTTTTCAAATATCTGTGCATTGTCACGGCGAAGTTCGTTGAACGACTATCAGCGTGAGAATAACGCATACAGCGAGGCGCGGGAAGAGCCCGACGTAATTCGATTCAACGAGTGTCACGCAGAAATATACGACACGGTTCTGTTCGCGCACCATCGTGTCATCCAACTCATCGTTTCGTAATCCGAAAACCGTAACTCTCTCTTTTACTTTTTCCCTTCATAGACTGCATAGACTCGCATTCAATTTCTCCGCTCGCATTACACGCTATTTCTGCACTCGAGCAGCGGCGCGCGCACCTAACAATTTATGCATATGAGATACGCTGACGAGCGATTTTGCGCTGACGTTCAAGCGTAATAATATTTTTCACCTCGTGCTCGTTCCCGGCAAAATGGCCATTCGCGAATTCATCCGTCATGTCGAAATAGGATAGAGGAGGGGCTGGTCGCTGTCGAAAACAGCGTTTCGCCGACGTATCGCATCAATCACTTTATATGGGGGATGAACGCAGAGAGAAAGAGAGAAAGACGTAGAGCGCACGATAGAGAGGGAGAGATGAAGCGCAATTATATTCATCTGCCGGCGCTGCAAAGTCACGAAGATATTGGATGTTTGACACACAGTAAATATGTTGCAGAAAACCGCGTCATTATTATCCCGGCTGGTGTGTATATATAGAAATCGAATCGTGCGAACGCGCGCGCGGGAAATACGGAGAGATATATATTATGCCGTGTTGGGGAACGAGCTGATGCGCGAGCAAAAATAAACGAGACGGCGAGAGAGGATGCGTGGAGTAAATAATCGTGTCGGGACACCTCTCGACGTACACGTACATACACCGTCGCGTGTGATGCGAGCGGATTTTCAATTTATTTCTGCGATCTTCTATTTTCCGACGGCGTTTCGAAAAGTCCGATGGCGATGTTGGCGGACCTTGAATTGTAGAGGCAACTCTTCCACTTGACTCTTTTGTCTGATAATTCACTGATTTTGGCCAGTGAAAGATTCCGTGCAAATCGCTGTTACACGTCTCGTAGCAGAAATATATGTATATATCGTATATATATTCAAGCATATGACGTATTTGACGTAGTTTAATATAATAGCAGACTCAAGAGGCCTCGAATTCAAGATCCACCGGGCTAATAATATTAAAAATACGTCATAATTAAAAATACTCCATCGTGTGTCAGGTAAAATCATTGACTATATCTTGAGAGTATGATTGAGATACTGAAAAAGAAGTGACAAATAATATTTATTTTCTCACTATTTCTGCAGTTAGATTTCTCCGACGGAAACGGTTGCTGCTGTTAACAGACTTTTGCTGCGAAATTTTACCGATTTGCCGTGATATACTTGTAACTATGATCACTAATGACTATTGGCTGCTTCTCGGTAATAATACACCGATGACACTTTAAAGAGAGTCAACTATATATGAAACAGTCAATTTCTGTCACCACGCCACATTTACAATTTTACTGGAGTTATACTTAGAATCATAACACCCGACAAAAAATTTACATTGGTCGGTCATTTATACCTACATATTAATTATAATCTATATTGCAGTAGCATTCGCTATATTTATGGTTTCCTTGGCTATAAATTTGTAATTGTGCCATTATAATTTCAAATATTACGTATTTTTCTGCCAGTACATTCAGAGCAAGACGCGACGAGCATTCGCTAGTTACACGAATGCTCGCGTGCGATCGGTCATTGCGCGACATGTACGCGATGTCGCGCCGCATCGCGCCGGCGGGCGAGATTATCGGAGATCGGACGACGCGACCCCTCGGCCATCTCGAATCAGCATATGCTAATAACGGGCCGATACTCGTTTCGGACAGATTACAAACGCATCAGTGGAGCGAGAACACGATCAAAACCGTGGTCCGGCCTCACTGGCAAGTGCACGACGGCTACGTGAAGAGGACGATGCAAATGATAGTCACGCCTCGGGTCCGCGCCGAGGTTCAAGCGCACTTCAATTGCCCGGAACTGGAGGGCGCGGAACTGGAAGACCAGGGCGAGGACGGCACCGCTCTCACGCACTGGGAGAAGCGCGTGTTCGAGGTGCGTATATACCGCGATCTCGAGTTCTCGATTCTCCTCCTTCTCCTCCTTCGTTTTCCTTCGCAGCTACGCAAATGGATTGGAACGCGATATATACGCGAAAACTCGGGGCCGCCGCGATGCAGAACGAAGCGGCGAGATCCGCGAAATTCGCCGCTTTTGAGAGTCCCGCTAGTTTCCCCTCTCGAAGACGAGGTTACGCTCGACGTGTGTCTTGCGTTTTTTGATCATTTCGCTTGTCTCCTTTCTCGAGAATGAGATCTCACTCACGTGTTCCTTTGCTCGAGTTCCTTGGTAAAATGAATTGATCAGTAGTTGCGTCATCCTAACGACGAGACTCGCGAAATTTGCCGACCTCGAGATTCCGTTGGTTTCTCCTTTCTCGGAAATGGAAATTCAATTAAATGTTACTTGTTTCAAATATTTCATAAGTTTATATATCCGCAAATATTTCATACATCATATGCGGAGAAAATGTTGTGATAAAAATTATCACCACACTTTGTAATACTGAACAATATCGGAATTATAACTGAAATTATGAATGTGTGTTGCAATTTTTAATGGCGTACATTTCATTATACACACCACTAAAAGTTACAACACACATAATAATTTCAGTCATAATTCCGGTATAGTCCGGCATTACAAAATTTTGTGGTAACTTTCACTATAATATTTCCCTCGTGTAAGAATCAAATTTATTTAAAATATGTCCCGAATTCTAGTAAATTTACTTCAATCGAGAATATATTAAATTGAAACAAATGTCGATTTTTTTAATATTCAAATTAACCGAATTTCATTTTTCTTTTCGATAAAATTTATAGCGTCCTTGAAAAGAGAATAAATTTTTCTTCTGAATACGTAACATCGAGCTTTATAAAATTTGTGATAAAGTATATTTTAAGACTTGTCAAGAAAATATTCCATGTTGAAGGCAGCTCTATGATTTAAAACAAGAAAAGTAAACTGAGTATTCGTTTTTCTCAAACTAAACGATAAAATAATACTTTTCCCTGTATAATTCGATCTATTTCGTTTCTTCAGAACGAAGCCATGACGGGTACGCATACGCAAAATCCAGTTTACTCGAGGATAACGCTCGCCCTCATGGAGGACACCGGCTGGTATAGCGCCAACTATTCGATGGCGCAGGAGTTGGGATGGGGGAAGAATCTCGGCTGCAATTTCGCCATGAAATCCTGCAAGGAGTGGATATCCTCCAAATCATCGCCTCTATCGTGAGTAAACGTTGAAATACTCCAAGGAGCGGCTCAGCTCCGTCGTGTCGTCGCCGACGCTTATACGAGGGTGTGTTAATATTTCAGTGGAAAGTCGATACATCCCTTCTGCAACAAAGTGAAACAGGATCCGCTGCAGACCGAGTGTACGGACGATCGGAGCTCGGTCGCTCTGTGTAACCTGGTGAAGCATCAGCAACCGTTGCCCAAGAAATACCAGGTAAGAAATATATCGCGTCTCTGGCGACTTGTTGAAACGGCGAATTCATGACATATCTCCGAGTTGCGCCGACGTGTCGCATCGACAGCGAGAGAATTCGCGACATGTGTGAAGATTCTCGGTTGACGGCCTTTCCTCTCTTTCTCTTTCTCTCTCTCTCGTATTGTAGAACTTCGACTCGATTCCCCACGTACCGGATGGAGAGGAACAATACTACGGCGGATCGGTGTCCCTGGCGGATTACTGCCCGTATATACAGGAATTCACATGGAGGGCACGAAATATAGTGGTCAGAGGATCCCACTGCCTTTACGAGGAGAATAATCCGCGTAAGTCGCTCGCACGACGACGTTTCGCGCGTCACGAAGAAATGCGCGCATAGCGTAGCATAGCTGCTCTCTCTCTCTCTCTCTCTCTCTATCTCTCTCTCTCTTTCGCCTCCTTTCCCTCTCGTTGGCTCGCCCCAAGTGGACCCTTTCTTTCAGATCCGGACAAGAATTTCGCGTTAGAGAAATATGGCCCGCACTCGAGGTGCTTTGACCACACTAACGACATGTGGGAGGAGAGAACTTGCAAACAAGCGCGCCAGTGGCAGCATTGGGGCTCCGGTTGTTACCTGTACAAGTGCGAAGCCGGCAGACTGCACATTATGGTGAGTACTTTACATCGCGATACCGCGGACGCTCGTAAAGGTTTCCGTAACGGAGTTACGAAACCGTGCGGATCGAGATCGGGAGACGATATATATCGCATTCGCGCAACAACTGATAGGAAATTATAGTCATTCTCGGCGCCAACCTACTTGATTATTTTAACCATAAAAACAGGAGAACCGTTTTTCTAGTAAATGTTATGCTATATTATCAGTGATAATAACCTTATATATGCATAATGCAGACTATTATAAAATATGGTTGGCACCGAAAGTAACTATAATTTTGTATTAGTGCAGGATTTATTTGAGAAACTCTCCCCATGCATTACATCGTATTATTTTTCTTGCCACATAATCGTACAAAGCAGACTTAGTTTGGTAATGTGGATATAGAAGAAAGAATTTCGCTGTTACGTGTTACTGGGTTGATGCAAAAGTTCGTTCCGTTTCATAGGCCGGTATTCATAGTCAAGCCAGACAGCACAATGTCTAAAGTCGGGACATAAGACTTCTTTAAAACATCTTTAAGACGTCTTGAAGACGTCTGCACGTAATACGTCTTAGAGACTTCTTAAGGATGTTTTAAAGACGCTTATGTCCCGATTTTGGATGCTGTCTGAAAAATCTCGGAGAAAAATCGACTTTTCCTCCTTTTATATTTCTTCAGTTTCTCTTTCAAGGGTAGAAAAATTCGTCCAGAAAAATGCACATTCAGTTAAACTTTGCTTCAGTTAGAACCTATCACATTTACTTTTTCTATAAAGAAGATAAGAAGATAGGAAAAATCCGCGGAAAAATGGGAAAAAATCTGGCTTCTTTCCGAAATGTTAAAACTATATATAGTATAGCCAATCGAAACGATCTGTGCATTATCTGAAGACGAACTTACGACGATTTTCAACATAGAATATAGAATCTAATTATGGATACATTGGCCTTAATCAATTTTTCGTTCAGATAGTCCATAATTTCTATGAATGCAAGATCATGCAGTCATCGGAAAGATGACAGCTTATCGAACAAAAAACGGTGTATATTTAAAATTGATCGATTGTATTTTAAAATAAATGAACGTTATATATACATTTTGATTAAAAAGCGGAACGTATTTTTACACCAATCCAATATGCGACGATGGTTTTTCATGAAAGACATTTGCATCATACTTGCCTGACGTTGATAACGAACGTGATATACATGTACAGAATGTGTCAAAAATTGTGGTACGGTCAGTGTCATGCATGCTGTGCCGTTCCTAAGATAAAAAGTTACACGATTCTCAACCTTACATATAACGCATAAAGTTGAAAATCGCGAAAGTACCATTAGTTATAATGACTCTAATTATGATTACAAATTGTGTAACAATACAAAGTTTCAATCTAGGAAAATGGTATAACATATATTACACCGACTGTACACTCGGTTTCTAAATAGTTTGGACACTTTTTTCCGATGCAGTTTGGAACGCAATCCAGTGGTCCGATGGGAGAACTTGTTTTTCGGAAACGAGTTCTCCCATTGAACCATCATTTGCATCCCAAATTGCATCGGAAAAAATGTCCAAATCGTTTAGAAATCGAGTGTATGACGGAAAAGGAGATGTTTTCCCGCGCAAAAGTGAATCGAGAATATAGATTGAAATTGTAGGTTTCATACGAGGCTTCGTTCTCGAGGAAATCCAATTTGAAATTCGTTGGATACACGTGTGAATTTGACTGTATATCTCTCTTACTACGCAGGTCGGCAACTATACTTACACCTGTTATCACGCCGGGCAAGAAATCATTATAAGAATCATGCAGAACGGATGGCTGCATAAAGGTGCCCTGATCTGTCCCCCTTGCCGAGATATCTGTCAGGTGAGGAAGCGACTTGAAGGCACGAATTGCAGTAACCCAGATAGACATTTCGGTATATTGTCTGCATCGTGGTTAATATAAATACGTCAAAATGCTTTCCCACAAGAAACATTTTGTCGGTACATAAAAGATCATCCGGTGGCGTGAAAATTGCAGCGATATTCTGATGCCATCTATTTTGCCCGAAAGAGAACGCGATTGAACCAGAATTATCGATAAAAAGTCGATACTGGATTCGTGGTGTGATAAATATTTCTTAAAACAAATACGTTTTAAATATATCGTGCTGTTGCGACGGCATCACGAAGCATACATTAGATGTTTTTATGCTACGTTCCGTCAGCATTTCTGTCTTTCTGGGAAGACGCGATGAGTGGTAGCGATCATTTATATATTTAACGATATATTTATATATTTAACGATCCGCTTTATCTTCTCAAGATGGAGTTCAAAGCGCGGGGCGAATGGTGCAAGCCAGGGGACGAGCATCCACCTTCCACGTATTACCACAAAGACTATCTCCACTGCGCGTCCCCAGACAGTATCGGCCTAAGTATATCGGCGCTCGTCATCGCGCTCCTTTCCCCCGTCGTCAGATGATACGCCGTTCGCTTTAGTTAATATTTTAGCGTATTGAGTCCCGGGTTTAAAACAACGCTCATTGACCCACGTACCGTGCGACGATAACATTTTTCAGTCCGACATGAGAATAGTTTATTTTCTGCGATAAGGCGCAACTGTGTACGAATCTTCTTCTCTTTCCCCCCTCTCTCTCTCTCTCTCACTCTCTTTCTCTCTCTATCCCCCCCCCTCTCATTTATTGTTGAAAATCTAATGGATATCGACTGAGGTGACAATCGCAATTCGATTTGATCGTCGATATGTGACGAAACGCGCAGCTAAATGATTCGAAAGGTTCGACGATGAAAGAACCGTCATCATCGATAAGCTTCAATTACGACATATTAAGTTTTCACAGGTCGAAAGACCCGTGGTGATGACAAGGCATTTCATTGAGTGCCAATCTCGTATTGTATACGCTTCCTCGATCGCTTATCCGTTTACAGCCAACTTGCTGGTATCGTTGTTGCATACACGTAGTCGTTGCGATTATCTCCTGTGCACGATTGTCTCCGGTCGTTGCTTCGAGTGCGAGCGATGTTTGACGAAAATTGAGGAATCTCGGTCACTACTCGATCCAACTGTGATGAATCATTAATACTCGATAGGTAGTCAATCGCCAGCGTAACCCGACTGATGTATGTACACACGGACTGCGAGCACGGCTGCCGGGACGAGCACAATTCCGGAATTTCACGCGCGGGAACCACGAGGCGTAAGCTAATTGTGTAAATTTAAGAGAACGGGAGGGACGTTACGCGTCGTCGGCGAACGGCCACGTCGATGTATATTTTTTCTGGGATGTACCTATGCGTTGAAAAGAAAAAGGGGGAAATAGAATTGCACATCGCAAATGTATGCAAATAGCATGCGGTCGGCAGTCCACGCTACCTACGCGAAACGGTCTGTTATTTCGTCGGCGACGTGCGGCGTGTTTCTCCCATACACAACCGTCTCTGGGAATTATATGTTAATTAGATGTCACACAAGTAATGAAGCTTTGATTTCGACATCGACACGGCAGAAAAGGATTTGGAGTTTGCGTTCCCTCGAGAATTACGGCGCGTATAAACGTATGATACATTCTCCCCGTCGCGGTCTGTATTACCGAGAGAGAGATTCGTGACACATTCCTGGTGACACGTGAGTGAGGGAGCTCATGTGTGTTGAAGGCAGGTCATATCGAACAATATCCGCGCGCGTGTGTGTGTGTGAGGAACCGAAGCGATTGGGAAGTATGCCTGTGGTAGATCCGTTCACCGAAGATTGTCTGCGAATCTGGATGGGTATCGTGAATGTATGCGACATAGTACAAGTAAGACTTTGTACATATATGTATACATATATAGCTGAAGGCCATTGAAAACGCCCCATCCAGAAGGACGTATCCGATTGGGCCCGTCATTACAGGACGTTTCCGGCCATTCATGAAGCCACTTGAACCATCTCGTATGAACCCATAATTGTTTTGCCGATGAACTGGGAGACCACCTGGTCTCGAGTCTTCTGTTTTTCCATTTACCAACTTTCAGCCCAATCCGATATATCCTTAGGGCGACCTTTCATTAATTCCGGTGAAATTCAACCGACGGTTAACTCAACGGAATTCGATATCAGTTTTATTGATCGGTTTAGCAATTGGCTGGTCGTCGTTTAATCAGTCAATTTGGTTAACCGGAGTTGGTGAAAGTGGCCTTTAGTGTGTTAAAAGACAACCGACATCTAATAGTGCAACATACACGCTATAGTGACTTTTACATAGCGTAATATCGAAGTCTAAGGCCCGTACTGAGTTGTTACTTAAAACTTGCTTCAAGTGAGACACTCAGATACGATTTCAGAGTTAGATCAGAATTTTTCAGTTAAATCGCTGTTACGGGTAGAACGTCACGTGCATTGTGAAATTTAACTGAAAAACTTAGGTCTGACTCTTCATTCAGGTCTGAGTATCTCATTCGGGACAAGTTCCAAGCAACGACTATTAATACGGGCCTAAATAATTAGAGTAACACCTTGTTCGACGGGCTCGACATTGATGCGACGGGTCATCGAGGGCCGAGAGCTTCTTGAATTTTCCGTCACCGAGTCGCATCCAGTTTCTACTATTTTCGTGGTTCTTACCCTCGGATTCACCCTCGGATCTAATTCACGTTCGTAACGTATAACTGCGGCGAAGATACTCGCGAGATATGATTTTCCGGTGCTTTTTCACGGATATAGATATATCGGCGCAATGTTTGGCGCAAATTAGTCGTTAATTGAGAGACATCACGGATAATACACATTATCGTATTGGGGGAAAAAACGGCAAGTGTGAGTACACGGAATGTACACGTACTAAAGTCTGTATATTAATCACGATAAGATATGCCGCTGTTTTCTTCTTCTCATTCTCCATATTTCCGTGTTATTCAATCTCGGTTAGCTCGAAACTCGATTCGGGCGCAACAGCGGAGCGTTCACCTTGTCATTCGCGAGACGGAGAGGTTTTGATATCGAAGCATTCTTTGTCGCATTCCAGGAGAGAACGCGCGAATTTATCATTTACCCGAACTTTTATAACACAGGTGTCTCGGCATGTTCGGGGGATTTTAGCACATAATTACGAGAGAGCGCGTTTGATCTAATTTTGTACAGAGAGAGATCGTTGAGATTCAACACGTATCTCGCGTATTCTGTAAAATATTTGAAGATATCACGGTATCGTATCGAATAACGAGATGCACATTCGAGAAGATTTCTCGTGGAATCTCCGCGATGTCGTTGTCGCGCGACGGATTTTAATTGGTTTGACGCGCACCATCCGAGCGATGTTGATAACTGACTCAGGGCGCGTCGAGTATCAGAAAGCGAGTGCGGCAGGTTTAAATGCGTTTCTACAAGGCCCAACTAAGAGGATAGATACGAAAGATATATATATATATATATATATATATATATATATATATGTATGTACTTGTGTAAGGGTGTGCGCGGCGCTATCGAAATACGTATATCATAGATTTTATTCGGAGGGACGCCGTTACGCTACGAGACTTCCTCACGAGAGAACGGTTGTACACAAACTCGAGCGAAATTGTTGAAACAACGTACGTTTTGACTCGTTGATTTGTTATTTTGTTTTCGATCTCTGTCGTAACTGTCCACTTCGTCGGCTACGACTGCTACGAAAGGCGCTTCGCGACAAGTAAAATTGCAAAAGGTTCCAATCAGTAGCGCATTGTAATCGGTTGCGCGGCTCCGGAGACTCGGGAACGGATTCCCCGGTTTCATTCGGTCGATGCGAGCCTGAGGCGTATGATATTTACGAATGGTTATAAATATAATTTCCGTAGGATATGTAACGCTTCTGATGAATGAGAAATATTTTAAGGCATATCGAGAAGACGATGTGTATCGAAAGAGGAGGATATTAGTTTTCCGACTAGGTTTCGGATCGCTGCGAATAATTTGCAGTATCTTTGTTACTATTGTTACGATAGAATAATCCAATAACCACTTCAATATCCTACCAGTTAATTCTGAAGGTATAATATGTGTATGTAGATTAATTCATATTTTATCTCTACTCTTGAGTATAAAATTTGTGCCATTATGGAAAATGGAATGATTCTTCGTATCTCGCTGCAATCAATCACGGAGACACGATTTCTTTTTTTCTTCATTGCAAGAAACTCGTTCGGGAAATTGTTTCAACATCGGCAGAGATGATTCAATGAGAAAGGAGAATAAATAACTTAAATATACATATATAGAATTTAAATACGTATTTCTCTACGTAAGCTCTATGCAGGATATGTTTAAAAAGTGAGATTATTTTTACAGGTATCGCGAGAGATTGATATCACGACCGTAAATATACCATATACCAATTTACGAGCGTACTTGAGTTAAATATAATGAGAGATAACGAGCGATAGTCGATAAGTTTTAGCATTAACGCCGATTATTGCATACGCAAACCTCGTCGTCGGACCGGTGCGATCGACCCTCCCTTCAGGAATTTCATTTTAACGTGATTATAGGAGATCCTCTGTTTGCTTTTGGAATTATACAAATAATAGCCTGTAAATCTCGAAAGCGCTGATCCCGAAGATATCTTGGAAATATTTTGGCCGAAAATGAGCTTATAGCTGAGATATAAGGAAAACCATATCATAAATGGTACGAACGTTACCACGCTGAAGGATTTACAAAGTTCAATTATGCGTTAATTATTCACGATGGGTTCTTCTCTCGGTTGGAAAATACGCGAAACTCTATCCGCAATGGATGATCATCAAGTCACGAGTGCACTTTGAAACGTATTTTGACTGAGTTACCTAATGCGAAACGCACTAAAATCAATCCGACAATGAAGTATTTAAGCCACTTCTTTGCATCGCAGCACACTTCAAAAGTGCTCACTACCTCGGCTATGTTAAGCGATCTATACTTTATTGCGAAATTATCACTAAAGGGATATATATATATATATATATATAAGCGANATATGTATATATATATATATATATATATATATATATACACACAAAATAAATGATTAAGAGTTTAGAATATAAAAGTGTTGTGTTGTGAGATTCTCCCTCGAAATACATCGTGCAGATATTATTTCCATGATGAGGTTACTTTGGTCCAAATTTTGAAAATATTGATTTCTTAGCTACTTAGCAGATTGTTCGATTTAATTAGTTCTGATTCAAAAATGTAGGTAGTAATACTAATTAGAAATTACAACAACTTATACGTAATCATATATATAATGCATTGTTAATATTTAAGAATTTTTGATTTGTTACATTGATTCAAGAAGAGTTTCTCCAAATTCACTTCCAAATCAATGGAATATAGCACTTGGGACAAAGTTACTTCAAATCCTGACAGCATTGTCCCAAATTTCCAATAATTTTTCGAATTTTTAAAAAATCGAAGAAACTTAAAATACTCGCTAAAATTTCACCATTATTCGTTGTCATAAAGAAGAAGAAATTATATTATTATATTAGATGTAATAACAACTGATAGTTTTTTTTAATTTTATCTAGTAGATAGAAAAGCGTTAAATTTTAGGTCAAAGTTACCCGACATTACGATACTTACGAATCCCTTGATACGATCCCATGACGAATAAATAGCAACGGAGCATTTTCATCGTACGAATTATTTATTGACAAACATACGTCATGTTATAGGTATATACATCATTTTGCGATACAGTCGTGTTTCGCAAATTGTCCGTAACAGTACGAAATAAAGCCGCCGTATCGAAAAATTCTAATAAAAAGGCCGAAGAAGATTTTTATACTAAACTACGCGCGTGGCGAGGATCCTTCGACGAAATAGTTGAGAGTCTTCATTCGGCGACGCGACGCTATCGCGACTTACGTGGAGACTTGCACGCACAAATCCCAAGTTAAACGGAATAATTAGAGTTCGTCGATTGAAAAATTAGGTATTCTCTGCCACGTCGGTTTTTACAGTTTACTCTTACTTTAGTCGACGTGATAATAAAGTTACTGACCGACCTGCGATCGATTTTCACTCGACTCATTATTCTTCCTTTCTCTCTTTCTCCCTCTCTCTTTTTTTCTTATCTTTCTAACAATTCTCGTCTTAGTTTGGAAAATACGATACCTAGCGGATAAGTAGGTTTTTTATTGCGATGTACATACGGCTAGTGTCGCTCTTTCGTACGATTTACATACATATACATATATACTTCTCGTGTGCATCGTGTGTCTGTGTGTACACACGCAATCTGGCTCTAAATGCGAGAAATTTCGTAATTACCGTCCTGCGCTGAAATACCTCTCGAAATAATTATCGTTATTGCTGAATCGGCAATTAAAACTTGTCGCACATTAATGCGGAAATTAATTCGTCATGCACCGCACGCGCGAAGTTGTTTTCCACAACGTTGCCGTAATTTCCGATAAATTATTTACAGGGTAATGACTCAACGCATTTCTAAAGATATAATGGAGACTTTCTTTTTATTATTTCACCGCAATTAATCAACGCCAATGACCAATCGACGATAATTGAAATGCCGTACAAAACGCGCGCGCGCGTTTATCGCTCTTATTAAACGACTTACGGCGCTCAATTCCTGTTTTACTCCGCGAGAAATACTTAACCGAATTCAACCGACCGATGCGTAGCGATCTTCCGCAGAGCTTGTGCGACATTTGTGTGTTTCTCAATTTTATTCTTCTTTCCTTTTTTCTCTTCTCTTCAGTCCATGCTACCGATTTACAAAAAGTTCCCCGATTAAGGCATTCGTTCGGTGGTGTGTGTGTGGGTGTGTGATTAATAAAAGTCTCGCGGTTTTATTTCTTTTTAATCAACGCTTCTCTAACTAGGCGCCTTGTGTTGCTTTACTTTTTTTTCTAGCTAATGGTCTTACCTAAAGTTCTACCTACGCGTAGTCGATATACGTCGAGTTGTTGAATACAAAAACGATTCGCATTCGATACGAAAGTAGCGGTGAATCGCGGCATCGACGTCGCGAAGACAGCCGAGCTGTCTCGTGTCGGCCGGTGAATCATTCGCAGGCAGTGTTTCATCCTTACGACTGTCCTTTTCGTACAGATCGCAGACCCCTCGTCGCATCGGTTCCCTATGTCGAGGAAGGCGAAGTAATATGCCAACTTCTCTCTTTTTCTTCCTTCTTCTTGTTTCTTCCTATCGCTTTGTGCAACTATCGCTAAGTTCGCGTTTGAATTTTATCACGTTGAGAAATTTCAATGACCTTCTCTCTCTTAAAACTCTTAGAATCTCTCGTTTCTTATTCCTTTCGTCGTGTCTGAGCCCTCACAGTACCATCTTTCGAGTTTTAGCCCATTGTTATCATCCAATATTCCACCAGTATCAAATCGGCCTCTATTCACTAAAAATCGGCACTGAGCCAGTACCTCGCCAGCGTTTACTTCCTATTTGGGGTGCCATCGCTCGAGCTGTGCTCGATCCGACTCAGGAACCCGGACTGGAACCGAAACCGAAAACCGTGTGGAAACCGGTATTTTTGTCGGAGCCGTAAACCGAAATTTTACAAAGCCTATAGAACCGGAACCGAAATCGGAACCGTTCGATTTTTTTCGGTCTCTTCACGTTCACGATTTCGGTTCTTATTCTACGATTTTAAGTAATCGTATTTTCCACTTCACAATAGAATTCTAGTTCTCACGAGAAAGCAGAACATATTCTCCGAATATTTTCAGAATCTGCGTAATTTACATGTACCGTTAGGAAGAGGTTACAAATAACAGGGGTAACGTTATATATCGAGAAAAGAGCAGAAGATGGAAATAGTGAAGAAATGCCACTTATATCGAGGAAATATTATTTTTTCTAACATATTATCATATACGTATGTATATATATATACGTATAATTTAAGTCAATAAAAATGTCAATAGGGGGAAACAAGTTTAAGGAACCAGAACCGAAAAAACCGTAATTTTACGGCTCACCGATACTTTCATTGTCCAGGAAACCGAAGGCGAAAGCGGAACCTTCATTAAATATTTTAGTGGACCGGAACCGGAGCGATATTTTCATTTCCGGGTCCCTGGAGTCCGACCGACCGCCCGTGCCACACCAGAGCACACGAGTGTCTACGTGTCTTAACCGATTAGATGAGGATGCATCCTGATCTCCTTTTCTCACACGCCCGCGAACAGGGACTTTTCACAAGCAACCTCTCTCTCGCTCTCGATGAAATCTCGAACGGAGCGGGATGAGAGATCTCGAAGCTTCGTACTTCAAAGAGCCGCCGCCGAGTCTGAAGCACACGCTTCGTTATCAGCTGCTTGAAAACAAGTAACGACCCGCTCTCCGCTGTTAATTTAAGCTAATGAAGTGTCGCCGGTCTTGAGACTTTGTCTTCGGGAAAGCGCGCGAATGCGACAAACGCCCCGGATATTCACGCGAGCGTGTTCTCCTCCGGCGATGTAGCATCGATCTCGGAGAGGCCGCCGTGTGTTGTAACACACACCGTGCGGATATATAATAAATATTCCCCCGCACCGCTCGCGCGCGAGCGATGTATGTACAATTATAAATTGAAAGCGCGTTATTATTTCACGTCAACCCCCGGAACTTGGCGGAACGCGAAACAACGTCGCTTGAGCTCGTAAGTGTCGGTCTGCAATAGGTATTTGAATCCTTGAGAAATCGACTAATCACAGTTAATTATTCTCCTCACATTCGACTGTGAATTTCTCAAGGCTCAAGGCTTAAAATACTTATCGTAGGCCGATACTCAGCGAGCGTTCCCGCACATCTCCGACCGCCCCGACACCTTCCTCTTCCGGGCGAGAAAGGCCTACGTCTCTGCGCTAAGTAATTTCTTCTCTCGCATACACACACGCGCCGGAAGATCCCGCCGACTGCCTACCAACACACAACGCTAAAACATACACGGCATCGATTCCGTGTTTCTCGTTTAAAGCGGAGATACCGTTGCGGCACCTCGGATATTCCGACGAATCCTCCGATAACGTCCGATGCAGCTTCGCGGATCTCCCTCGAGCCACCTCGGGATTCCCTCGCGGCTGAGAGCCGAACGAAAATTGAGCGCCGACTTCCAGCGAAGAAGGAGAGTCCACGCGCGTTGCGATCGACACGGATTTGTCTTGTTTTCCTCACACAAGACTGTTTTCCGCCGTATCGTCCTATCCGTTACGCTAAATAAACGCCGTTAATTCGCTTCTGGCAATACCGAGACGAATTCTCCCTCCTTGGCCGCGAATAACTCGTTCAAATCGAGATTCAGAGATCGCGGATCCGTGGCTCTGTCTTTCTATCTCTGTAGTGTGCGTGCTCGATCGTGGTATAAAATTCTGCGATATTAAAAGGGGATGATCCGTTCCGGACGATTATCCCGACCCGTACCGCTCGCGCGTCCTCGTCGGGGGGTGGTTTTTTCCCTCTTTTTCCCCGTGTCCCTCCCTCTCTCTCTCTCGCTCTCGTGCGAAATATATGTGTAACAACAATGTTCGTGACGTGGATATAAGGGTTTGGCATTATGCATTGGCCGGTTGCCAATGAGCTCTCGAGCTTGAGCAAACAACAATTACGCATTAAAGTCCCTCACCTCGCCCTCTCGTTTATTCCCGCGCGCGCGAGGTATATCGTTTCACTCGACGCGCGACCCCACCGTTTCTGCGACCCGCGAACGCGTCCCTAAACGGTCGCGCCCGGCTACCAAGGGACGGTTAAATTGTAGTTTAAAAAAGAACCGCTCCTCTCAATTCTTGCCTCGAAAATAAACCGAACAAATCCGTAGGGAAAATGGCAAACTCGAGTTTTCCCCCCCATTCTTCTCGTTCGTTCGCGAAGAGAAACTGAAAAAAAATCGCGGGAAAATTGAAGGAAATCGGATTTTTCCCCGAACCTTTAAAATTACGGGGGTTACCACGGAAAATGAATTTTGAAATTTCCCGACTTTTTCGTGCTCTCCAAACGGCAGTGGCGAATTTTCCACGAACAATATGTAATCTCCAACGTCTAGAAGCGGGGATCGCAGGAAAGGTAACTTATATTATTACAAGATCAACACAAGCTTAAAAGTTTAGTAACGTAATATAATTCTGAGTGTAAATTTAGGCCGACGAGTGAAAATCCACGTTTTTTTATATCTTTCCCTGATTTTTTTCAGTTTTCCATGACATTTTAAATTTCTATGACTTTTCTCGGTTTTCTCCGGTTTTCCAGGTCTGCGGCAACTTGGAACTAGAGATGTTAATTTCAACTATTCGACAACTATTTCAACTACCCGAGTTTCTCAATAACCGAATATACGGCTGAAATTTCAGACGTTACAAATTATTATTGACCTTTTTAACGATAACAGATAACGATAATATCTGAAATTAACCGAATATTCAGTCACTGAATGACTCGACGGAAGGTATTTACAGTCGGATGTTGCATTTAAAACCGTCTTAAGACTTCATCTTCAAATGTTTCGTAACCAGTGAAACGAGCCGTACAGTATCTGTCGGACAAAGACTTAAGACGGTCTTAAATATAAGATCCGTTTACGAATACCGGCGTCTCGGATACCCGGGTAATCGAAACTGACAGCCCTGTTTGAAGCTACATATAAAATTAAAATCCCCTCCCCCGGCGATAACTTTAACCCTCCGCTGCCCGTCTTGATCGAGAAGTTGGCGAATAAGAAGAGACGGCTGGAATCCGAAGTATGCCATGACAACGATCCGTGCCTTCAAACATTTATGCGTTCCGACGGGGCGTAAAAAAGGAAGGAGGTGAAGCGTACACGAAGTTATACGAAGGAATCACGAAAGAGGGAAACAGGAAGAAGAGGAGGAAAATATACGAAGAGAAACAAGCGGAGGGAAAGAGTAATTTCGTAGCCGAGCGCACCGCTCGCTCGCGCTTTGGCACACTCGCGCGTTAATCAATCGCCGAAAAACTGGGGGGGGGGGNNNGGGGGGGGGGGGGGGATGATGCATTCCGCGACGCTAACACTCGCGAAGTACCGCTCCCCCTCCCCTCTCCCCCGTGATTAAATATCTCACCATGTACATCGCCGAGAGAGCGCGATTAGTATCCCTGCAGTATCGCGCGCCGTAATTAATTCCCGTAATCGATCTCGTCGCGACGAGTTAATCGGCGCTGTCGACACGCGCGTTTCCCTCGTCCCGAGCAGCTCGCGGTGTCGGCGCGCGCGAGAGATCGCGACGACGAGCCGGCTTAGCGCGGCTC